CTTTTTGAAATACATATATGTATTTGAGTATGGTTTTAAGTTCGTTCGCTTTTGGAAATACATAAGGAGTCATATAAGAAATCTCTTAAAAAAAACTTGCATGCTAATATGAGATGATCAGATTCCTAATTGTAGCTCATGATTTTTTAGAAAAAAAATATATATCCAAGCGAATTCTCACAGTGAATTTCACCTTAACTAAATTGTATAACAATAATAAAATTAAAATAGCCTTCACCGGGCATTTTTTTTTCTAGTTATTTGAAACATTCAAAATTACATTTTCAAAATAGATCTAATCATTTATAATGCATATTGGGGCATGTAAATTATCTCAAATTTAAATATTGACAATTTTGAAGTTATAGCTCGCATCAAGATCTACAACTTTCATACAAGGTATTATCTAATAAAAACTACTTTTATATAAGGTATGTTTCTATCTTAGGTTGTTTTAATAAAAAATCAAAAATTTAAAATTTTCCCTCATACCGTTTATCTGTGAAAGATGGTAGTTACGATTCGTAACATATGAATGTTCTCATCTTTGTTAGGTCATCTCATTACACCCATCAAGGATAATATGTTATCTATGACAGGACATGGTTGTGACCCGTTATAGATCATCTGTGACATGTTACAACTATAAACCGACATAGATGACCTTATATCAGTGACGGATTATCCCCGGTAGTCATATGTTAAATGGGATATTTTTCGGTCGGTTAGAGACCAATTATCCTACACGAGTTATATTAACCTGATATGGATGACTCGTCAAGAATGCTCGGATCTGTACTAGTGCACGGCCGTGCTAACTTGTTTCACTTGCACCAGTCTTGGACTATTGGCCGCACCACGACTCCAACCGCTTCATTGGGTTGCTCTTGATGCCGGCTTTTAAGGAGAGCAGTTCGGACCTCCTTGCTGCTAGGTTGCCGGCCGAACCTAGTACCGCAGCCACATCGGTCTGTCTTTCCGTGCATTTTTTTTCTCATCCAATTAATTGAAAAATTAGATTTCTCATTCATCCCTCATCATTTTTCTCACGATTTTCCTTTTCATTTCGGCTTTAATTCATTAGTTTTAATCTTCTTTTAATGAGAAAACGGAAAGAGAAGTTCGAGCAATCAAAATCCCTCAACCAAGATTAAAAAAATTCAACTAGAAATTTGGGGATTGTGGTTCCACTTGTACATAATATTTCAATTATTGCTCAGCTCTTAACTGAAAAATGAAACGTTTTTAATTTCAATTATTGCTAGGCTGTTAACTGAAAAAGAAAGCGTTTTTATCCGGTGCAACGCAGTAGCTATTTTCTAGCCGATTATAGAAATCTTTCACGTAACCACGTTTTGGGTTGGTGGCAGTGACGTAACAACACACGCATGTTTGAACAGTGGGCCAACGGATCTACGGTGCCATGGTGGGCTCGATATTAATTAGCCCACGTACTGTCTCCATTCTCTAGATGCAGCCCATAGCCCAGAGGAACATTTATACAACCGAGATAACAGGGAACTGTCTAGGCATCTTTCGTGTGATTTTTGAGAAAAATTCTCCCCTTATATTTACATCCAACCATAAATAAAAAGTACAGAGAAACCGTTCAGATAGCTTGTGATTGTATTGGTTACTAGAGTAGTATTTAGTAGAGATTAACACAAATGTTGCATTTATAACTAAAATTACAGTGCCTTATAACTAAAATTACATTTGTAAAAAAGTAGATATGGCATGTAAGTACACTGTAATTTTAGTACAAATGCACTGTATATTTTGGTAATTAAAATATTTATCGTTTTAGTACAAATGCACTGCTTGAGAAACCGTTCAGGTATCTAAAGTGTTAAATGTTGCATTTATAACTAAAATTACAGTGCTTTACAACTAAAATTACATTTGTAAAAACAGTAGATATGACATATAAGTGCACTGTAATTTTAGTACAAATACACTGTAAATTTTGGTAACTATAATATTTATCTTTTTAGTACAAATACACTCCTTGAAAAACCGTTCAGATATCTAAAGTGTTAAATATTGCATTTATAACTAAAATTACAGTGCTTTATAACTAAAATTGCATTTATAAAAACAGTAGATATGGCATATAAGTGCAATGTAATTTTAATACAAATGTGCTGTAAATTAAATCATGGTGTTCATATTTTGGCCCGTACTCATCAGTTTGTTTGTATTATTCATTGTGTGCCCGGTAAAGATACTGCTAGGTGGTGTCGTGGTGGTAGGGGGATAAATCACGACCGTTAAATTAAACCATGCCCAAGTGACCCGACGAAAGCAAATTCGGGTGATTTGACGCAAAAAATCTGTCGTGAGACGTATAGCAAAATCGAGATAACAGAGATGTGTGTAAAGAAAAAGATAGCGGAGACCGGAGATACTGTATCTTACACAGGCTAGTCCTATCCAATACAACTACACATACTACAAACGAGCACGAGAAACACGTATATACTCCATACTGACAATAGATAGATCAGCGGTGGTCCACAGAACGCAGAGCAGAGCATATTCCAATCAACCACAGCGAAATCCTCCATGGAAGAAAGAAGAATTAAACCCTATCCTATCCACATGCAAAGCCAGAGCGAGCGAGCGATCGACAGAGCGCTACCGTCCACACGAGCGCCCCCGCCATCTCATCTCCCCGCGAAGCATATTCACCCGCGCTCCCCCCCCCCCCTCCCCTCCCCGCCACAGCCCACACCACAGTCACGCGCGCGCGTACGCGTACGCGTACGTGTGTGGCCACCGAACCCCCGGATAGAATAGAATCCACCCGAGCCCCAGAAACGTCGCACGCACCGCTCTCACCAACGCGCGCAACGCGGCCCTCGCGCATCTCTCTCCCCGTTTAACAATAGCCGCGCAATCACCGCCTCGCTAGCGACCGCGCGCGCGGCGGGGAGACGAGAGGGGTAGGGGGACAGGGCAGGGCCCGCGGGACCCGGTCGCTCGCGCGTCGCCGTCGCCGGAAAGACGCTCGATCGGGCGCGCGCCTATAGGCGAAAGGCAGCGTCGTCTCGTCCTCTCCGCCCGCGTGATGCAGCGCGTACGTGGCGGTGGACCGCGACGGCCGGCGCACGCACGTCGGCGTCGTCGTCGTCGCGCGCGCGGGCGTGGCCTCGCGGAGTCGCGGTCCCCCTGCGCCACGGGGATCTCGCGCCCGGGGCTCTGCTCGCCCGTACGTTCGCGTAATAAACCGATCGATCGTGGTGGATAGGGTTTACGCCTGCCTACGTATATACACCAAGATTGGCAGATTGCCAATCGGATGATGAGACCAACCCGGGCCGCCCGGACACGTGTGCCGCGCTACCGCCGCCGCCTGCGACGCACATGCATGCGTACGGGTGTGCGGGCGAGGTTGTTTGTTTGTTGTCCTGCTCCTGCGCTGACGCAGCTGAGCCGTTGGATTTACATCTGTCTTTCTTTGTTTCTTTTTACCCTTCATCCGTGAGTCTGACGTGTCGTAGATTAAGTATCTTTGGCGTTTTCGTTAATCCGTCCTGCCTATACCTTTCTTCTTTATACGAGGAGAGGGGAGGGGGGTAGAGCTTGAGTGATTATTGGCTGGGGGCTGATCTGGATGGTGATTATCCACTGAAGAGATCCAGGAGCCCAGGATGAGGTGCTTTTTCACAGTTGACACCACCAACCAAGGAGTCCCTGGTGATTATCCACTGTGGACACAGAGTCAGCAAGGACGAGCTGCTTTAATTTTCACAGTTGCCACCAAACAAAGGAGTCCCGGGAGACACACTTATCACTCAAGCTGAGACGAAAATATGCCCAACAGCTGCTGCTGCCACATTGCCACTGGAATCTTGGGACAAACAAAGTGGCTGCACCAGATAAACACCATGTCTATCTATCCCTCCCCTAGCTACCTTTTCCCTTCCTGGCAACACCTTCGTTCTTTTTTCTGAAAGATAAGGACCAACTTGTTCTGAATTATGCACTAGTAGTACAGTACATTGCAACAATAGGTGTTCCTTTCGATACCTTAATTCGCATTTGCATCGGCGATACTAACGCATCATCGATGCAGCTGTGAGCCTGTGACACGACAAGGATAGCCATAGGGCGGAGCCCAACTGGGACGGCAACTTGGTACCCGCTAAGCTCTCTCGATCAGTCTATGGTTTTATCCTCATCTACGAATGAATCTGGCCTGCCTGGACACTGGACTGGCTGCCATGTACTCCGTATCACAGATGCTGGGGGCGCGCACGTACAGGCGTAGGACCCGCGCTGGCCCGAACGACGACGATGATGATGATACGATGCTGTGCATGCGCCACACACTGTTGCTACCTTAGCTAAGCCATCCATCGCCATATGAACTGAATCCGCCTTTGTCATCGCCTGCGGTTTCGTGCATTGTACGAGTGGTTTCTGTCATGGATGGCACTAGAAGATAGGATAAGAATCTGGATAGTTTCTGAAACTAATTAGCTAGCCTATTAGGGTTATTTCTTTAGTGCGTGACAGTAGGATTATAAGTTGGATTTGTACGGTATTTGGCTATTGTGCGGTAGAGTTAAGGCCTTTGGTCTGGTTAACTTCTCTGTTTGACCTGAGCCGAATGACCATGGATGATTGCTGGATTCAACCATCTCGTCCTCCTCGGAGCTAGCACAGCATGGCCGACCGCATCGATCGACAGCCACATCTTGCATAAACAAAACAATGGCGTCATGCATCACCGTGTCGTTCAGCAGTCAATTCAGCAGACGAATGCGAAGGTTGGCAACCGCTGTCGACGAACGGGGAGCAGAGGATACTCGGGATAGGACATAAAGACTAGTCTCCTAGATTGCAGTTGACAGGCAGAGAGATGGACGGAGAAGGAGAATTAATGGGGAAATCGCATTAAGTGCATCATTTTCATATTTAGTTCATTCTGGTTTCAGAAAAAAAAACCTTTCTTGCATTTGGACTGTCAGGTTGCCAATTCCACACATCAGCAATGGCAGAGTTGCAATCTTCCCAAAACTTAAGCAAAAGCCAATGAACACAAGGCGCACATGACATGAGCAGTAGAGAATCGGTGTCTCTGATTACACAACCTAATTAATTAAAAAGTAGTACGGACATTACTGTATCCACAGTTGGTACTACTCGTTGATCTCTCCACTTGCACCAGCTTTACAATTACTACAAACATTTGCCAAAATACTCCAGCCCTTTACTCCACTTGGCAGACAGATCAGACTGCAGATATATCAGCCACAGTTTTACAGCGTGTACTATATCCTGCAGACCTTGCACCGACGAAACTGGAGCATCTCCTAACGACGACGGTGTGCATGGCATGGCCGGGTCATGTGCCGATGGACGGCGTCGACGAGACGGACATGCCGAGCTCCAGGTCGAGCGGCGTGCAGTGGTGGTGGTGACCATGTCCATGGGAAGCCTGCTGCTGCTGCTCCATCAGAACCACCGGGAAAAACGGCCTCCCTGACGCGCCCACCGTGTCATCTTCCTCGGTGGAATTCAGATCAATTGCCGCCACTCTGTCCGAGGAGGTCTCGTGCGTGTTCATCAGCGACAGTGAGGTCGACGCCGCCGCCGCCGCCGCCGCGCCTTCGCCGCTCAGCTGCTCCGAGACGCGCGCACCGTTCTCGCAAATCGGCACCTGTTGCATGTAAATATATATTAGAATCGAACTGGCTGTTAGCCAAAAAATTCAAGAACTCGGATTAATTTAAGGAGGCCAAGGAATTGGGATTGTACCATGTCGAAGAGGCTGGAGCGGCGCTTCTTCTTGCCGATGCTGCTCTGCCTGAGGAAGAACTTCTGGGCGTGGCTGGCGACCTGGGTCGGGGTCCTCGTCGTGACGTAGCTCCGGGAGATGCCTCGCCAGTCGCCCTTGCCCAGCTTCTCGAGCCCGACGAGGAACAGCCGGTGCTCCTCCTCGCTCCACGGAACTCCTGTCATGTTCATATACAGATTATTTTGATTTGTTATATGACTATATATATGTACTACTAGTACTGAATTTTTCTGGGGGTTATGTTGTTCAGGATGATAAGTCGTCCTGAACATTCATTTGGTGAATATATAAAAGGAGACAGATATGCCTTGGTATCCTTTCATCGCAGAAGATAATGCTACTTTTATTTCAGAGGGATAATGTAACTTTTGTTCGGTCGGGATGATAAACTAAACAAAGAAAGATACTAGTAGAAGATTTGGTAGGTAATTTAAGATTACAAGCCTCTGAATTTCCATACCAAATTTTCTTTTCTCTCTATTTTTTCCCAGAGAAGATTTTAAATGCTTCTGTAATTGCAAAGTATGCCCTCTAAAAAGAAAACTGCAGAATGTTTCTGAACAATAAAAAAATTGCAGAGTATTGCAAGGCCATTTCAACATTAGTATTACCTTTCTTCCTCTCCTGGACAATTCTGCCATGGGGGCCATCAGACAGGTACCCATTGGACGCCCTCTCCAAGCCCCCCTCGTCGATCGACAGGAGCATCGACGACGAGGACGACGACGACGGCGACACGAGCGAGCCCGGAGCCGCCCCCGCCGCCGCCAGCTGCAGGCAGTCCATGCTGTAGCTCTTCTTCATCGGCAAACCTCCACCTCCACCTCCACCGCCGCCGCCGGCAGCGACATGGACCTGCACTCCGAACAGCCTCAGCCCACTGCCGCCACCTCCGTCGCCGCCGTCGCAGAGCATGGTGGTATCCCTGTGTCCAGCGCTGGCGCTGCTGCTGCAGGTTCTTGAGTTGTGGCCGTAGTTGCCACAGTAGGAGCACTTCCTCGCCATGGATGGCGTGGCTGGCTATAAATCGGGGTGGTGGTGGGTGCTAGCTGAATCTTTGTACTGTGCCTTCGCCTTTTGCTGCTGCAGAGGCGGTGAGAGAGATGGGTGGAGGCCAGTGCGTCCACACCCGCAGCACACGGACACTGTGTGGTGGGTGGCGTTGTACTACTACTACTGCTGCTCGTGTTTTCTCTCCTGCAGCTGCGGCGGCTAATGAGCTAGGTTAGGGGAAGCTTAGGCTTAAGCAGCCGCTATAAATGCGGGTTTGAGGTGTGTTGGTGATTGGATATGGATGTGGACATGCTGTTGGATGGAAGCAGGCCATAGGAAAAAAAAGGAAAATTGTAAATGTGGTGATAATTGGAGTCGCCTTCTAGATCTTGTAGCTTGGACTTCAGTGACAATTTGATGATTGGTTAGTTGTCCTAACGTTACGAAAACCGGGAATTTTCACGTGAATCCGTTTGTAAACACGAATTTCATGTCTGAACTGGAAGGGAAAAAAGGGCATCCCAAACTGAACTTGTTTGTAATTGGGTCAGACCGTAAACTCACTTATAAACCAATTAAATGAGCAGACAGACCAGCTCACTTGTACCCATTGACTGATGTGTCAAAAATGTATGAATTTATGGAAAAAAATTAAAAAATGAATTACTTTCTTTTACAAAATTTGAATATTTTTTGGAAAATGAAAAATAAAAATGAACATACTAATTCCCATCAAGATACTCTACCAAATCTTCAGTATTGCCAAATTCTTAGCATTTTTTTGACACTAGCTATCAATATTCTAATTGGAGTATTATACATATTTGAATTGATACCAAATATTGATGATATGGGGAGAAAAAGTTCAGATTAATACCAAATTAATTATTGGCATTACCAATGATTTGGTTTCAATCCAAACATACACTATTACTACTATTCAAACTATCAGTAAATTGGTGGGGACACGTTTTAGCATCAATATCCTAAAATTTACATGCGAAATAATTAAACCATGTCCCGTTGTACTGTGTCTTGCATGTAATTTTCGTAGAGAAAATCTTGATTGTTACTACGTCGTGGCCTCGTAGGCGTTCTCGGGTGAGAAATGGCCACGACGTCACACGTCCTACGACGAGTACGCAAGACTCTGTAGACAAGTCCAGTGACTTCGACTGTTCGCTTCCGCACGTGAGATCCGCATGCACGTACTCTGCTCTTCACTGTGTTTTACTCCTATATCAAACAAATCTGTCCATTCGAGACAATTGGACCACGAGGAAAAACAGTGCTTTGCTTACTTCCAAAGTTTATTAGCATATTATCGATATGACAACTGACAAGGTTTGAATTGAGCTTAATTAAGCTCCAAGTTTATCAAGCTCAATTAATTCTAAGCACTCTAGCAGAGTGGCCTTGAAGTTTCTTCACAAATAGGCCCCAAGTACCAAGTTACTACCTCTGTTCTAAAATAAGTGCAGTCGTCGAAATCCGTGTCCAACGTTTGACCGTCCGTCTTATTTGAAAAATTTATGAAAAATTTTAAAAAAATTAGTCACACATAAAGTACTATTCATGTTTTATCATCTAATAACAATAAAAATAATAATTATAAAAAAATTTCAAATAAGACGAACGGTCAAACGTTGAAGATGAATAGTGTAAAATTACACTTATTTTGGGACGGAAGTTAAATGGTGATATGCAAAATAACACATGAGTTTCACATGTATTGGAAGATAAAAAAATCAAGACGGTTCATATCAAACTCTGACCTAAATTCTCAACCAAACCTAAGCCTATTTATCAGTTTCCTTGAGAAACACAAGCATCTTGTCGGCTAGCCCTTCAGATATAGTATTTGAGAAAGCATCAATCAAATACTCTAGACTATAGCGGTCAATGGACATCCAAGTGAGGCTGTGATAGGGCATCTTTTGTGTATCAGTCTATTTTGAAGAACAAGTAGCCCTTATCTTACCGTATTTGATTGCACAGGTTCAGAGAAAAAAAAAACCATGTCAAAGCTACCAAACAAGGGAACAAAAGCTCTTCTAATGGTGGAAAAGTTTGGGAGTGATTTTAATCATTGTTATCCTATCCAAATCTCAATATTCTAGCTAATCGGATCCCATGCATTGAGAATATTTTTCATTATCTCCAGTCTTTCTGAATTCTAGGCTAGCTTGCTGCTACTTTCTTCAGCTTGGAATCTTCGATCCACCGATAAAGCAGAAAAGATTTGAGCAGAGTGCATGCTATCAGTCCATGACAGGGACAGCCATTACTGAATTTAATGTAACATGTTTGTGCAGATAAGATGGGGATAATATTGTTTGTTTAGGTTGTGTTCTTCCACTGCCTCTACTTAGAGAAGCAAGAAGATATCAGACAGCTACCGGATTAGCCATGTAGTAGTTGCCAAAGTGCTCTTTGATCCGGTTTTTTTGCTAATTAATTCCGCTGGTCTGTAGTGCTTTGGTGGCGAAGTATAGTAGACTAATCCAGATCATTATCTGATCTGAAGTATTATCCTCCGCACATGATGCCTTGCATAATTTTATCTCATCTGAATAAAACCACCACGCTTGTTCTATTCGAAGAGGCGTGAAATTAGCATTCTTCAGGCACTAGTGGTCATATTGTGCTCTTACATTTTACATTTATAAAGGTGTATTTTCATGTGTATTCCTTTTACTGCAACAAAAATAAACACTTCATCTGCGGTTAAGGAAATATGTACTCTATCCTCCGAGGAACAACAAAGAGTCTTCCTTACCTTTTATGAACATTCTCGTATATCTTTTTAAACACGGTACAAATACAGAAACTCACAACTAGGGGTGAAAACGCTACGAAAACGGACGGAAACTATCTTTATCGTTTTCGTTTTTATTTTTTTTCGGAATCAGAAACCCCGGATACGAAAACGGAATCGAATATTATCAAAACCGAAAACGGAGCGAAAACGAACCGGTGCGAATACGGTAACGAAAATTTATTAAAATACAAAAACCCCTCAAACTGATAAATACAATTCTCAAGTCTCAACGGTCAACAATTCATCATAAAACACAATCATATAAGTCCAATTATTAAGTTTCAACAGTACATCACAAAATAAAATCTATGAAATAAATTATCTATATTTAAGAGAGTAATGTTGTTAATAAATCCCAATGCATAAAAAAAATTCTTATGTAACTTCAGATTTGTATAACAAATATTTTTTTAAAAAAAAATAAAAGCCAAATACCATGGTATTCACTAGAATAGTGCTTAAAAAAAAGAATCCAGGGTATTTCAGTCACAAAATTTTTGGAAATTCCAAGAAAATTTTCGAAAAGTTTCCGACCGATTCCGAGTTCCGACGGAAACTGCCCTTAACGTTTTCGGTTCCGTTTCCAAGAAAATATTTCCGAATTCGTTTTCGTTTCCGAAAAATTCCGAAAAGATTCCGACCGACATAATCCATTTTCGAAAATAGGTCCGGAATCCGGAAAGTTTCCATACCGTTTTCACCCCTACTCACAACACAAGCACACTCATCCATATGAACTTATATTCACCATGTACGTCTCACTGTTGACTGGTATATCGCTTACCAATAAAAGAATAATTAGCCGTAAATGCGAGCAACGGTGCTAAATCTAGGACAATCCAAGTGGGCAGGTTCTAATTAAAAACAAACTAAACAGTTAATCTATGCTCACTTCGCAAACATTCTCATATGTTTTGGTTTCATATATCACGACGATGAAACATGTATCTATATTTTTAGCAGATAAAATACAGTAATAGCTATAAAAGTCTAGAATTTGATTTTTGGATAATAGAATTTGATGCATCAGTCTTCTATATCGATGTGATAATTTCTCATTTCCGTTTAAAAATATGGAGGAAAGATACAATCTCAGGCCCTGTTTAAATTCCACCCTAAAATTTTTCACCCTGTCACATCAAATGTTTGGACATATGCATGAAGTATTAAATATAAACGGAAAAATAACTAATTACATAGATTAAGTGTAAATTGCGAGACAAATCTTTTAAGCCTAATTGCTCCATGATTTGACAATGTTGTGCTACAGTAAATATTTGCTAATGACGTATTAATTAGGATTAATAAATTCATCTCGCAGTTTACAGGCGGACTCTGTAATTAGTTTTTTTTATTAGTCTACGTTTAATACTTTAAATGTGTGTCCGTATATCCGATGTGACACACCAAAACTTTACACCCATGGATCTAAACACCCCCTCAATTGACAGTTCCCTATATATTTTTTGTACTAGGTAGTCCAAGGTATTTATTGTACTGCTAGCACCACCACTATCTTGTATTAGTTGAACTATAGATCATAATGGTGTGGTTTTAACGCACTTTCACGAGATTGTGCCTATTTCATTGAAAAGAAGAAAACAATTACAACCCCTAGGGGCTATGAGTATCTATTTGTGACTAACTAACTATAGCGTTTTCATGTACACGTCTTAATTTTCCGACGATTTTCATTCATACCATGGTGTGATTTGATTGACTACATCAAAGTTATTACTCAATTGTGTTACTATAAAAATAATTTCATGTACAAATCGGAGAATATTAAGGGGCGCATGAAGGACGCGCGAGGAGCGACCCCACATCGGATTTCGCTACAGTCAGTGTGCACGGGGTGGTCGTTTTGCGAAAAAGTCCTCCACTTTCTGTGTAATTCGATATGGCTCCCTCGCTAACCCTTCCTCTGAGCCGATGTTTTGCAGGCCCTTGTAGTGGCCGGATATTTCGTGCAAGGGAGAGAAAAACGCGAATCAGGACCGTGCTGTAAAATGTTAAAGTCGATGGGCTTTTCCGCATAATGACCCTTACTAGCCCACCCACCCCCAAACCCTAGCCGTCGCTCCCGTCTCGCCTCCTCCCACTCGTACATATGTAGATGCACAAATTGTAGAGAGTTTGGTTAGTTTCAGTAAATCCATAATTTCAACTCACATAAACAAATTACCGAATGTGCACCAACAAAACTAGGTTGGCCATCTTAAAAGGATGGATCCTTCGGTACAGAGTGGAAATTCACCGTTCGGCATACTGGTCATTTTCGGTCTTGTAGCAGGTAGCAATATTTTTTTAAGATAATGATGTCTTTATTGAACTCAGTCAATTAAATTAAAGTGATACAATTATTCTAAGAACACTTTCAATCTCTGCACAACTAAGATACATACAACCGAATATACGAAACCATGCTTAAAAAAAAGAATGACATGGAGTACTGAGAACCATTAATCCAAAGACTAAATCGACACACATGAACAACTCCCTGGCTAAAATCACGGAGTATTAAGAGCCACCAATTCAAAGACTAGATTTACCCATATCCCAGGGTAAAAAACTCCTTGACTACCTTCTCCAAATTTATACATGCCGCAACCACCATACCCCGCGAAGTAGGCTTGAGGCTTCTATAAGATAGCCCATATACGAAGCCAATGAATAAGAGAATATATAACCTGCAAAGGTGAAGATATAACTTATTTTTATAAAAAAAAACCACATTATTCCTATATAGCCAAAGCGACTAACAAGTAGCATACGCTCCTAATAAGACATGTGTTTTCAAATTATTATAAATTCCAGCAAACCAGCTCCCAAACATATGCGCTACACAATGCGGATGCTACTTGGATGTGGGCCAAAACAGAATGGGCAACAGTGGCGGACACACCCATTAGGCATGGTGGGTCGGCCGGCCTAGCTATGGTCCGTATCGCCCCACACCCCCAAACCTCATTTTAGTCCTATTTATAATACATTAGTCATTATTCTACTATTGAATAATTAGATAAATTAAGTATTTTAAGTAGGAACAAAAACATTTATGAAAATTCATGTATAAGTAGTACCTTTTTTGACCGTTTCTGATTTTGGCCATACATAAAATTCGATTTTCTTTCTATTTCTTTAGCACATAATATAATCTATAATAAATAGTTAAATTGATAAATATATAAAAAATCCATTTTACTCACTTGAACTATTTTGACGAAGCACTTAAACCCCTAAATAATTTTTTATCTCGTTTTATACCCCGCCCCATAAACTATTGAAAGTGGTTCCTTTATCATCTAAGAACATTTCTCATTTTTTATTTCTCTATATATAAGTCATATACATTTGTTCGACTAACAATCTTCGTTGTTAACTTTCTCAATGTCCATGCAGTGCGCTGATGCGCCAATGCTGTGAACTAGCGACTACGGTTTGTATGCATGCCATCACCTAATTAGAGCTTTGCTCTGCCATCTCATATGTATTTTAGACCTGCATTCGCCACTGATGGGGCAAAACGACATAATGCGGTGCAGGCAGCAAGATGGTGTGGTGCATTTTCAATTCTCTCCATACAATGGAATTGGCCGCGTGCAGTGGGGGCAAGACGGTATTCCTATACACCAAGTAGTAGTACCAACCTAGCTGTGACTGTGAAGCTGTGGGTAGAAGCTACTATCGACAATTGGGCGTCGGCAACAGCTAGTCAGCTATACATTCTGCTAGTAGCAGCAGTACAGTATGGCTAAGCACAACACAAGTATTGCTATCAAAGGAAAGAAAGGGGTTAGTGTTGGGTGGTGGGAGTATAGTTAACTGGCGGCCGTACAGGCTCGCTCACTTGCAGAGGAAGCTGGCGCGAATGGATTAGATTAGCGTGGTCGTGTGATATACCGGAGTTTAATTTGCTTCCGCCAAACGCCAGATCGATATGACTCCTGGAGCCCCAAGTTGATCGATCAACCAGTGATCGATGATGATAATCCAGCGTGCATGCAATGCAGCTGACCAACACCGGACCAGCAGGGGAGCGGGTCAAACGCGCGCACGCATATGCTGCTTACCTTGTCGCCGGCGCGCCGGAGCCTGCAGGGTGGAGCCGGAAGTAGGTACAGTACTTGCAGGGGTGCGAAGTTAATCATTTTGGTTTGTGGCCTAAATTATCCTTGCTAATTTTTGGCAATTTCGAGGTGTTTCTATTGATGTCATTTCAAATCATATCATTTCTTTTGTAAAGTTACTAGATATGTGCATCCATTTAGTTTTTTTTTACCAAACTTTAGTACATGCATATCAAAACTTGACAATATTATTAAATTGCCAATAACAAAATTTGGTAAGGTTTATTTTGGCTACAATCTAAACAGGCTCTTCAATAGTGTTTAGTGTCAATTTGGTTTGAGGCTAAAATTTGACATGCTTAAAAAAATAGGCTATTTCAATAGTTAACTTAGGTATTTTGGGTTTAATCCAAACACAACTTTCCCTTGTCAAGATTAGCTATGTTAAAACTTGTTAAAATTTGATATTAAAAAAATTAGAAAGACTAATTTAGACCACAAATCAAATCAGACCTAAGTATTGGAGTACCTTGTTTGGGCTCGAGAGTCGAGAGCGCCTATGCATGATAACAATGAAGGTCAGCCTCAAGCCGATGCGAGTACTGGGACTCTGGGAGCAGACTAGGGTCGGGGACGTAAGTTCAAGTGGCCCGGCCTACTGCGTACAAGGTCAGACAGCCAGCCAATATAAGGGGAGCATGTACAGCGGTATTTAATAATAGACTCTCTTTATTGTCATACTAATAAATTTGGTGACATGAAAGAGAGAGCGAAGAAATGAGAAATATCGTTGCTATCCATAACAACAGCTCAAAGTCGACTCTTAGTATTTATTAAAAAAAATGTGTTGCATGTAGGTGGAGAAATGGAAAAAATGGTGGCAAAAAAAAAGCCTAGTCAACATCACAGAACCCTTCCCCCTCTACTCTCTCCCCCAGAAATTCCCCTCTCCCTCACTCAAATTTGAGGGCCCAGAATGCACACTCGACGGGCTCGAGCGAGGGCATCAGCACACCACCCCCACCGGCGCACAGCTCCATGAACCATGCGAGTTCCGCAACGGCCTCCCCATACCACAGCAACCTCTCCAGCCCCGCCAGGTCAAGCACCCTCCGACCACGTTGATAATGACTGGCGGCACCTCGAGGTGGGGAAAGGAGAAGCTCCCAGCCTTCCCCCTTTCCCTTCCCATTCCTCTCCACTGGCAGAGCTTCTGTTGTTGTCGTATCATCCGCGAACAACCTTTCTCTGAAGGCGACTTCCACGGCGAGTTGATGATCTCGTCGACGCGGCTTGTGCTGGTGCTACTCCCAACGTCATATGTTGACCAGCGTCGAAGGGGATCCCAACAACGGTGTCAGGCTCCTCTAATGTGTCTGTGCTAAGGTGGTGGAACAGGAACTTGAGGGAATGATCTCCGTACTGTGGCTGGTGCTCCCACTGCCGATGCTAGAATGGGAACTCAAAGAGACATGTGGCAATGATGTCGGGCTCCACCCGTGGGTCTGCTACTGCCGCTCCATGGGAGGCGGGGCCCATTGTTTCTTGTGTTCATGGCCTCTTCTTGCCGCAGAGAGAGAGGGGGGGAGGGAAAGGGGAATTTCGAGGGTATAGACATAGGGAGAGATCGACCGCACCACCTTGCCTCCGTATTCGTTGTCCTCACCGCCGTCTCACCGCAGTTGCCACCCTCACCTTTGGCTAGGGCTTTGAGAGAAGGAATGGGGAATTTTCTAGGAGAGAGAGTGAGAGAATAGAAGGAGAAAGGCTCTATTATGTTGATGAGGCTTTCTCTTGCCACGCAGGACAGCATGTGTTTGCTATTCGAACCCTAAACCACTCACAACAGTGCTCGGGGGGTTTTGTCTAGTGTTAAAACTTCAGGGGTGAAACAATGTCTGGTTTTCGAGTATATGGGGGTAATTCATATTCACTCAATATTTTTTCAGGGGTATAATTCAGACTTTTTTTTTCTTTTGCCAAAACATGCCGATTATTATTGACTGGATTTAGATAGACAAAGTGGAAGAATCGGATTGGGCCGATCCAGTCGTCATCTTCCTCCTGCGGATGTTGATGGCCGGACGGTTGGGATGGACGGCCGCCACGCGTCGCAGTGCCTCCTCCACCTTCCTCGTCACCGCCGAACCACCGCCATCTCCCGTGTTCTTGTACCAAACCTCGACGCGAACGTCCTCGAGCGAAGGGAGGTTCTGCATGCCCAGATCGCGCAGCCCAAGCCTAAGCCCACCACCACCGCCGCCATCGCCGGCGGCGGCGAAGTCCCATGCCCTGAGGCTGAACGAGAGCCGCCGAACCCTCGGCATGGCGCCTCGCGGGAACATGGACGGCGCCGTCACGAAGTGCAGGAGCGCGCACGCCGCCGCGCAGGGGAACGCGCCGGCGCGCACCGCGAACCGCTCCACCGCCGGGCGCGCGTCTATCCGGCCGGTGGCCCGCAGCCGGAGAGACTGGAGGGCCGGCAGCTCCCCGACGACGCCGATGTCGCCCCGCCTCACCCGATCCACCCACACGTCGAGGAAGGCGAGGCGCGGCAGAGGCGAGCAGCGCACCCACGCCGGCAGCGCCGAGAACGCGCTCGTGGGCCCGTTCGACACGAACCGGCGGAGGCACGCCGGAGGCACCCAGCCGTCGCCGACGTTACCGACGCCGCCGCCGCCACCGCCGTAAGCGTAAATCTCGATGCTCTGGATCCCCTGCAGCTCGCCGAGAGCCCCCACCACAGCTCTGCCCGCGCCGTGCTCCATCTCTCCCCACTGGAGCCGGAGCACCCTGAGCTTCTTCAGACAGCGAAGCTCTCTGACGACGCCGTCTGCAGAATCACGGCGAACTCTGAGCCCGGTCATCTCCTCCAGCGACGTCAGGGTTGCGAGCCCACCATTTCTTGGTAGCCTGGTGTCCCAATCGAGGCGAAGGCACATCAATTGCCTCAGCCCGGTGATCGCGGGCGGCAACTCCCGTATGCCATGAGCTCCTCTGATGTCCAGCGTCTGCAAAACCTTCAGATTTCCGATCTCTGTAGGGAGCTCAGCGATGTATGTTCGTCTTAGCCCAAGGTACCTCAGGTGAGAGAGCTTACCGACATGCCTCAGATTAAGATTGCTAAATTTACTGAGATCACAGCCTTCTAAATCCAGTACACGAAGAACCTGAAACAGTGACAGGGATGGCATCGAATTAACACCAGGTCTGAACAAAGTGAAGGATCTCACTTGTGACATGCTGCTTGCTGTAGCCTCTTCTGCCATTCTTCAAGTGTTTTGGATGGCTAACCTGCGAATCTTATTATCATTCTTATGTTGCCAAGATGTTCTGTGCTCACTGTCATCTATTATAGTAATAAAATTTTCTTCTTTTGATAGGGAAAGGATAAAATCAAGCATCATATCATGCACGCGACAAGCTTGAGCTCTGCCTTCAAAGTCGATGCCGACTGGCTCAACCATGCTTCTGTTTATAAGCTCATTGAAGTAACTCTCTCCGACCTCAAATAAGTTGTCCCAATTATTTTCACATTGGACAAAATCTTCAGCTATCCACCTCCATATTAACCGATCTCTCTCAATTTCATAATCTTCTGGAAATATACTTAGATACAGTAAACATGTCTTCAGATGAGGAGGTAAATCATAGTAGCTAAATGATAATATCTTCTGCATATCATCCACACCTTCACCTACTGTGAGTCCCCGGCCAATAGAATTGAGCAAATTGTGCCATTGATCCTTAGTTTTTATGGGCCTATTATTATTACCGGCCAACAGACTAGCTATAGTGATGATTGCTAATGGTACCCCGTCACATTTCTTCAAAATGTCTGTAGATACTTGTTTCAATTCATGAGGACAGTTGTTCTCATGGGTAAATATCCTTGTGTATAAGAGCTTCTTGGAATCATCATCCGAAAGACGTTTCATTTCATAAATCTTGTCATCACCCGAAGAGCAACAAGCTTTAGAGACATTGATTTTGCGTGTTGTTGTGATTATTCGACTGCTGAGATTGTTCTCATATAAAACACACTTGATGAATTTCCACACATTTTCATCCCAGAGGTCATCAATTACAATGAGGTACCTACATTTGTAACAAGGCATTAATTGGGTAAATCAGTGAAATGTAGGCCTGGTTTAGTTCCCAAAATTTTTTTCCCAAAAATGTCACATCGAATCTTTGGACACATGCATGAAACATTAAATATAGATAAAAACAAAACTAATTGCACAGTTTGCACGGAAATCGCGAGACGAATCTTTTGAGCCTAATTAGTTCATGATTAGCCATAAGTGCTACAGTACCCCACATGTGCTAATGACGGCTTAATTAGGCCCAAAAGATCCGTCTTGCGGTTTCTGGGCGAGTTATGAAATTAGTTTTTTCTTTCGTGTCCGAAAACACCTTCCAACATCCAATCAAACATCCGATGTGACACCCAAATTTTTTTTTCACGAAATAAACAAGGCTGTAACTGTTTTATGAAAGAAAGCAAAATGATTGTCAGCACTCCTACATTAATAACTAGGTGAAACCCACACGTTATTGCAGGAATTTACTATGATAACAATAAGTCGAAATAATGTGTAAGATAGCTTAACCAACATAAGCTTACATAAATATTACATAAACATAAGTTTTCATAAGTTGATATGATTTAAATTAAAATGATATGTAGAATGATGTTCAAATGTAAAGTAAAATGATGTGATTTTATGAGAAAAAAAAAAGAAGATAACTTAGACCATACATCTAAGGGCTAAAAAATTGAGATAATATGACTTAATGAGAGAAGAAAAGTAGCAAGATAATTTGAACCATTTTGCCTAGATTAATCATCTAAGGACTAAAAACAATTGATGTGATATGACTTAATGAGAGAAAACAAAAACAACATGAACTAAGTGAGAATGAACTATATAGATATATACCTATATGAATATTTAAAAAATAATGGAGAGATATATTGAAATATTATGTGAATTATTTGGGATGATTATTCAATTATAGATAATATAGCATGCTTGCATGATGTTTAAATGTAATAATTGTTATTGGATGATAATGCATCATATTTGCATGTTAAGCTGTAAGAATTAATGGGCTATAATTTTATAGTAAGAGACGATACAAGAGATGTTAAATACTTAATTGTGTAGCAATTACTCTATTTCATCATATGTTAGAGAGACAATGGAAACAAAGAACATATCAGAAGAAAACAATATATGGCCCGTTTGGTAGAGCTCCAACTCCTAAATTTAACTTCATGAGTTGGGTCTGAAGTGAAGTTGTGGAGCAGCCTAAACTGTCTCAACTCTCTAGTTCATTTTGCGAGAGCGGTTCATCCAGCTCCACTCTTATTTTAGGTGGAACTGAAACTATATGGTTGGGCTCTAACTTCAGGAGAAGTGGAATTGAAGCTGTACCAAACAGTTCATAATACTCTCGCACTATTTCCCCCAATAAGAAATGCTTATCACTTATTCCCTTGCTCTGAACAAACAGGTCAATCACTGATTAAGTACTAATGTGCTAGTATTGATAAATCCCCACAATTTTTCATCCCAAATGTCATCAATTATAATGAGATACCTATATCATTTTGTAAGAGCTAGCATTAATTGCAGAAATCAGTGAAATGTATAGCATTTCTGTTTTCTGGGGAAAAAAAAGAGAGAAAAGGATTGCCTAGTATATTAGGGTGAAATGTGTAACAGTGACTCTGTTTCCTATTTTACTGAAGGAACTCGTCTCTGAACTTCTGAAGGAAACCTGAGAATAAGGCGTAACACTTATTCTCAACAAGAAGTCCACCAATGGTAATGTAACACTAATGTGTAATTCCTCCGTTTCATAATGTAAGAATTTCTAGCATTCATTCATTAATATTTATATGAATGTGGGCAATGCTAAAAAGTTTTACATTATGAAACGGATGGAGTAACTTTTAATACTGAAGAAAATCGACCTCAAAGCTCAGCAGTGTGTACCTTCTACTCTGGAGAAAACTTCTCAGCTCATCAATTAGCTGTACATCATCTCTGTCTAAATCATTGATGTCTGAGTACTGTTCCCGGTCAAGTTCAAACAGCAATTTCCTGAAAATCTTGGTGATGTTGGGATTCCTGGACACGGAAACAAAAGCAGCGCAATCAAATTGCTCCCTGATGCTCTCATAAACCGCTCTGGCAAGAGTCGTCTTCCCCAGCCCGCCAAATCCAAAGACCGAGACCGTCCTCAGCTGCTGCTGCTGCTGCATCGAGCCACCTGAAGAAGACAGCAGCAGCTCGCTCAGCTCGTCCCTGGCCTTGTCGACGCTGACGAGCTTGGCCACCTCGACGTACAGAGCTGTGAGCCGAGGGTCAATGGCGGCGCACCCCTCGCCGGCGCCGTGCAGCTTGAGGCCGCCGTACTTCTGACGCAGGTCGGACAGCGACTTGCCGCGGCCCTGGGCTTCTTCCACGGCGCCGGCGATCTGATGGAGAGCCCTGCCCTTGGTGAACAACCGGGCGGCTCTCTTCAGGGACTCGCTGAGCCGCCGGTTCTGCTTGGCTGCCTCCGGCTCGCCGTCGGCGACGCGCACCAGGTAGGCGTCGACGGCGTCCTCCATGTCGTAGGAGATCTCGCGGACCTGCCGCGCCCACAGCCTCACCTGCCCGTCGAGTTGCTCCGGTGGCACCTCGCCGATCCAGCGCACGACGCCGTGCATCATGGTCAGCTCCGTCCGGAGATCTCCGATGCTCTTCGTCAACTTCTTGTCCAGGTTGAGCTCAGCCATGAGCAGCTCGCAGACCTTCTTGAGGAGCAGGCTCATCGCCCCCGCCGTCAGCTCCATAGCTGCTCCTTCTAGCTCGCTAGCTCTATTTATAGGCTCATAGCCGGGTTGGCCAAACCGCCTGCAAGTTTTTATAATACAGTTGATGATGGTCACCTTCAATTTTATGCTATCTGCATTATTCATCCATAAAATTAAAACTAACATATATAAATGCATTGCATCTAATACATTAGAGTAAATTTTCAATTTTATCTGGCTATCTGCATCATTCATCCATAAAATTAAAACTAACGTATATGAAGTTTGTGTGAAGGTTGTCCTTGCATGAGCGGTGACTTCTTCTCTCTATTTTTTCTTCTCTACGTCACTATGGAGCGTGTTTTTAGAAGTGGCTTGTTTTTCTTGTGCACGCTTCCCAAACTACTAAACAATGCATTTTAAAATAACATGAGGAAGTTACTTTATAAATAATATTATTATATTTTTAAGACTAAAATAACTAATACTTAACTACTCATATGATAATGACTTACATCGTTTTGTGTATCTTCTCAATCTTTTCGTTTATCGTCCTCTCAAACACTTCCGAATTGATTTAGGAGGTAAGTATAAGTAGGTTCTCTTTGGCACAAATATAGAGTCGAGATTCGTTAGATCTGGGTATTCATATCTCCCCAAATGCATGGATTTAAATTAGCGATTACGATAATTAGATAAATTATTTTGCGTCTGTTTTAGATAAAATTTAAAATTTAACATACAAAATTCAAATCTATCATTGCTCTAAGATTTGAAGCTATATCAAACAGGATCGTAGTAGAACATCGAGACAAGGTTGCCGAAACGGGGGGGCAAAGGTATATGTAAACAGATGGCGGATCGACCGCAGATCTTGAACTTGTCAAATTCTAAAGCAAGCAACCTCCCTCCAAATGATCATTCCATCTTTGATAGCGAAGAACAGCTGCGTTTCCGAGGTTTACTTCTGATTGAATATCCTCACATTCCTTTATTTCCAAGTGAACCAGCAGACCAGGAAACCAGTGAATCGAAAGTCGGTTCGAGACTTGCTCCTAAAGCCTTCCTCTCACTCTTCAGCCATAAGTCCACTTGGAGGTTGGAGCTGGAAGGTTATATTAGCCCAGCTTCTAAATTCTAAATTTTTAATCCTCCTACCACTCCGTTTAGGGCATGAGCAATGTATATTGCTGAACTAGTCATTATAGATGAGACCACAAGCATTTGTCCTTAGCTATTTTATTTCTCACCATGGCTGAGTTTATAAGTGGGCTATAAGGTAGGTCCCATCAAAACTATATTAGATATCTCATATGTTTAGAAAAAGAGAGTGTGGAGAGAAGAGAGATTATATTATTATTTTATTCCTTATAGGTAACCATATGCATGAGTAGCTCAAGCTATAAATAATTATAATGACCACACTCATAATATATATATAGGCTATATAAGACTCACACTATGGATATCCTTATGCAAGGGCAAGTGACAAACAAACAAGTACCGTCCTCCTGATTTGCATAGCGAACATCGATTTTGGTGAGGCAAACATCTTTTCTAAAGGTTAAAAATGTCTCATTTTTTTTTTATGTTTATGCTTAATGGAATAATGGAAGCACGCGGCAAAGACGATGGTCTTACAAAGTCAAAACATAGCCCATTAACACTACCCGCAGGCCCAAAGACGATTCTACAGGGTTCTCATGTAAATCAGGTCACGGCCCAGAAGCCCAGCACGGTGCTCTAAAATGACACAACTACCCAACCAACCCACTCAGCTCTAAAGCTCTCCCGTCGCAGAACACGGTGTCGAGAATAATCGGAAAATCGTGGGTATATTTGTCATTTGCTAAGCTAAACTCACACAACTAGTAAGCCCTCCGTTTGGAGAGGGTAGAGTAGAGAGGGGGTGAGCTCCAGGTGGCGGCTAGGGTTAGGGTTTTAGGGTGAACTCACCGCGCCACCACCCCTCCCGCATCTTCCACCTCCGCCTCTAAACCCCGCACGCCCGCAACCCATCGTGCCTGATTCGTCCATCCGCCATTGATGGCGGTCTTGTCACCGGCGGCGTTGTCCTAAGTGGTTTGGGTGTTGTGCAAGAGGGTGGTTTCGTTGCGGGGGGAGGAGGATCCGATGGGGACGAAGAACCAGTTCGACCTGCTCGTCGACGTCGACAACGACGACCCCTCGCACCTCATCGCCGCCGCCGAGAAGAAGGCGGCGGCGGCGGCCGCGTCGCCCAAGCCGGCCGCCCAGGCAAAGCTGCCCACCAAGCCGCCGCCGCCCGCGCAGGCTGGTGAGTTCACACGGGCTGGCTCGGATTGGATCGGGTGTCGGGGATTTTAGCGTCCGCGCCTTGTGCTGGGGATTGGGGAAGCTAAAATTTACTTCGTTTTAATCGAAATGCTCTTGATTTATTTGGGATGCTCTGTCCAGATGTGCCAATCTGTTGCAGGGTAATAATAGTATGACGTTATGTCAATGTACCTATGTGGTTGCAGTAGCCTGGAATTTTTCATTTTGTATAAGTCACTTTTACTTTTTTTCCTAGTCAATTTTTTCTAGTTTGACTAAGTTTATATAGACATATAGCAACATTTTTAACACAAAACAAGCATACTATCAAAATATATTCTATATTACATTTAATGAAACTAATTTGGTGTTGTAGAAATTTAATAAATTTAAAGAAATTTAACTAGGAAAAAAGTCAAAGTGACTTACAATATGAAACGGAGGGAGTATTATCGTTTAAAGTTTTGTTTTTTAATATCTCTTAATACCCCTTAACTGCAATGTATTCACCGCACATGGGGATAATTTAGTTACATAGTGTTAATTTGTCAATGCAGTAAAGGAGTCCAGGAACTATGGTGCTCCAGCCCGTGAGGGGGCAGGCCGCAATGGACCAGGGCGTGGCAGTGGTGGTTTTGGTGGAGGCAGGATAGGCCAAAGGCGTGATTTTGGTGAGGGTGATACCAACGGTGTAGAGGGAGGGTATGGCGCTAGCGGCTTTGGGGATGGAATTGTGAGGAGGGAAGAAGGTGAACACAGACCTTCAGAGAGGGGCCATGGACCACGCCAGCCTTACCGTGGCGGAGGCCGACGTGGCGGTTACACTGGTGGGGAGGCTGGGGATGAGTCTGGTCGTGCTCCTCACCGTGCCTATGAACGTCGTAGTGGCACAGGTCGAGGGTATGGGATGAAACGTGAAGGCGCAGGCCGTGGTAACTGGGGAACTGTGACTGATGAAGCCCTTGCCCAGTTAATGCTGATATCTGAAACTTCATATTCTTTGGAAGTGCTATTTCATGTTTAATGGGTTTGTTTAAGTTTAATGTTTCTTTTTGGTTTTGTGATTTGTTAGGGAATCTGGTGAGGCTGTCAGTATTGAAGTGTCTGTTACCGTGACTGAGGAAAACAAGCAGGAAGATGTACCACAATCTGATGAAGTCGAGAAACACAAGGAGGGTGAATCAAATGAAGAGGAAGAAAAGGAACCTGAAGACAAGGTATAATTCCAGTTTTGTGTTGTACCATTATATTCTAGTACTAGATTGGAGATGCAGAGAACAAACTAGCTCGATAATGCATTGAAGAATTAACATTTACATGCAAACTACATGTCTTGACCAATATTTGCTAATTTAACACACTCTTTTTCTATCTAAACTTTTTATAGCAAGTCAATTTCTCACATGCCCATCTTCAAGTGGATTTCCTAATGCAGAAAATTCATGGAGACAAAATGATGATTATTCTAATTGTGTGATTCCTTTGATATTTTATTTATAAATGAGTCATATAATGGAAATGGTTATATTTTACAATTCAGTTGTGAAGTTCACGTTGAAAACTTAATGGCAGTGTTCTAGCTCATCTAGCTGTTATTCTATATTTGTACCTGTGCTTTTACATGCACATGGGAATAAACAATTACAGTTTGTGATGCTTGGATTTATTTTCCCCACAATTTCACTTAATCTATGACCTGTTACCAGTATTAAATAATTCATGCGATTTGCATCCTCCCTTATTTCTATGAATTGTTATTACACTTGTCAATTAAGCAGAAGTCAGATCCATTTCTGAGGCACCACTAGAAGAACTGAAGCTTAAGTACATTCCTGCCCAGGCATATAAATAATTAAGTATGGCAATTTGTGTTTATCGCCAGTTAATAAGATGTTGTCTAGTTAATTTGAGCGAAAAACTGCAAGCATTTGGATGCTCGCAATTTCATCTTTCTTTTTTCTCAATGATATTTTTTAGTTTAACTAGTAAAAAAACATGCTTGATGTCTTTGTCCTCCTTGTATTTAGCATTCCTCGGCTATGCCTTTCTATTTCCTTACCTAGCTGATCAAGCTAAATGAGTCCTACACAGGATAATATGTATGCTGGTAGAGAACATGTCTGCTGTCCTTATTCATTAAATTCAGCAATCCCTAGCTGGCTGGCCGTGCCTGTCTTTCTTGATCCAACCAATTGTTGTGGCTGATCTGGTCCAGTGAATCTTTCACACCAAGAGAACAGGTAGTCGTTGCAAGTTCTCAATTTCACCCAGCCTATAGGTACACTGGTGGAGAACATGCCTGCTGTCCTTATTCATTATATTCAGCAGTCCCTAGCCATGCATGCATGTCTTTCTTGGTGCACCCTTGGCTGATCTGATCCAGTGAGTCTTGCACACCAGAACAGGTGGTTCATTGCAAATTCTCAATTTCACCCAGCCTATAGATAGCTTGTGTGGAAGCATCAAGGTTTTCATGCATTACTTTAGCATGCATGGATTCAGGAGGCTGCCATACATAATAGCTATCTGTTGAAAAAAAAACACTTGCTGTGCATCCATTGAAATTATGTTGGTTCATAGAATGGGCTTGTTCAAAGCTGAAAATGTATGTGCTTAGGAGGTTGTATTGATTGGTTGGGCTTGGTTAGATTTTTTTTTTTGTTTCCTTTTGTTTGCCATGGGTTTATGTGTCCATATAATTTGGGGTTATGATTCCATCTACATTTTTTCTGCACACCTTCATTTTCATTTGTTTTAGCATGCATATATGCTCTCAAGTCAATTAGTTTTGATTGTCGTCAATGTACACGCTCAATTTCTTCTTTGATGTTCTGTTCTGCACTTACCATTACAATACAAAAGGCAGATGCTCAATGCCTTATAGTATGTTGCCACCGGTCCTTATTAAATTATTCTTTTTCCCTATTCGGGTACACAGGAGATGACTTTGGAGGAATATGAGAAAGTACTGGAGGAGAAGAGGAAAGCTTTGCTTTCACTGAAGGTTGAAGAGAGAAAGGTTGTGGTGGACAAGGAATTGCAGTCAATGCAACAGCTCTCAGTGAAGAAGGATTCTGATGAAGTGTTCATCAAGCTGGTAGGTTCATGCAGCACTTTTACTCAATTCCGTGAGCATAACTAGCCCCGCTGCTCACCTTCCACTTTGTTTTAATGCAGGGTTCTGACAAGGACAAAAAGAAAGAAAATGTTGAAAGAGATGAACGCACCAGGAAGGTTTGTAGAATTCTCCCAAATTTCAGTCCAATCTGCTCTTACGTTGCTCCAATCTCAAGCCATTATCTTATTTTCCGCCAGTCTCTTAGCATCAATGAATTCCTGAAGCCGGCTGAAGGTGAAAGATACTACAGCCCAGGTGGGCGGGGGCGGGGACGTGGCAGAGGACGTGGTGACCGTGGAGGATTCCGGGATGGCTATAGCTCTCGAGGTCCTGTTGCCGCACCAAGAATTGAAGATCAAGCGCAGTTTCCCGGCTTGGCTGGGAGATTGGTGCACTAGCTGCCATGATATGATCTCCTTGCACTTTTTGTGGGATTTTAAAAATGTGTCTGCACGCGTTGCTTGCTGCATCAGTGTTGTACTGTCAAGCTACGCATATGCCACTGTTGTGTCTCATGTATACCCGTGCGGCCGAGCCAAATGTTTGAAAGGTAATTTTCAAAAAATCTCATTGGAGGTTTTCCGTGTGTTGGTCATGTCAATTACATTATTTTGCTCCATGAAGTTCCGACAGTTAGTTTTGATTTTTGGCATGAGGCGAAACCTTGCACAAGAGTTTAGGGCCTTTTGGCACAGCTCCAGCTAGGGATGGAGCTCAACCAAACAGTTTTAGCTCCACTAAAACTGGGAGTGGAGCTGGGTGGAGCTCTCTCACAAAATGAACTAGAGATGTGGAGCTGGGTTTAGGCCGCTCCACAACTCCACTCTAAACTCAACTTCTGGAGTTAAATTTAGGAGTTGGAGTTGTACCAAACAGGCCCTTAGTAAGACAAAAACAAGTAAAATAGCTAGATAGCATAGTTTACATTTGTTGATATGGTTTACGATAACTTAAACTCAACTTCTGGAGTTAAATTTAGGAGTTGGAGTTGTACCAAACAGGCCCTTAGTAAGACAAAAACAAGTAAAATAGCTAGATAGCATAGTTTACATTTGTTGATATGGTTTACGATAACTTAAAAAGTATATATAGAATGATAATTTAAATGTAAAAGTAAGATAATGTGGCTTTGTGAGAAAAAGAAAATGAGGATGATAATTTATACCATAGATTAATTATCTATGGCTAAAAACAAAACAATCGAGATGATATAGCTTAAAGAGAGAAGAAAAGGAATGGAGATAATTTGGATCATAGATTAATCATCTAAGGGATAAATATAATTAATATGATATGGCTTAATAAGATAATAGAAATAATATTTAGTAAGTGAGGATGAAAGGATATATGGAAATATTATGTTATATGAGGTGATTTAACATGTTTGCATTATCTCTACTATTACAAAAATGAAAGATGTTTTTGTCAATATTTTGGTACGTCATCCTTATTAGAGTTGGTTTTTAATATTGTATCTTTACCTATATGCCTATATTTTTTCGCCTTTTTTTCACGTGGAACAGTTTTTGTTGGTCGCACGGCTTTTGTTCGATCTTTCGGTTTGGTCAGTCTGCCCGGTTTTTTTGTGGCCTTATTTTTTTAATGGTTGTTTGGTTTTTTTTTTGCCGCTTTTTTCGCGTGGAACCGTTTTTTTCGTCACCCGGTTTTTGTTCGATCTCCTCCGGTCTGATCCGTGCACGCGTAGCACGCCTCAGCCGCCGCTAGGCCGAACTGCTGCCGCAACATCAATATACCTCCCCGTACGTTTACTCCTTTAATTGATTGCAAAAACCGATCCTTTCATTTCTCCATCTTCGTTTTTCTCATGATTTCCCCTTTCAATTCTGCTCTTATTCATCGAATTCAATCCCCTATTTAACATTGTGGATGATGGCCGACAGCGGAGCTTCCCTGGTTGTTTTTATCCCGAGTTTCCCGAGCTTTACGAATTCACTTCAATTTTGGAAAAACGAAAAGGGAAGATTGAGTGCATCAAAAGCCCAATTTAAACTAAAATAGGATCGAGTGCATCAAAAGCCCAATTTTGGGAAAAATGAAAATAGAAGATTAAGAAAGATTCGCCTGGAAAGGTCAAGCTGGCCTACGGCTGCAATTGCAAGGGCTAGGCCGAAGAGAGACATGCTGAGCGGAAAGGTGTAGCGGACTAACTGGGACCAAAAAGGAAGAGAGGATTGGACTTCTGGCCCAAAATGAGGAATAATTTTTACTAAATTTTTTAATTATAATGCATAACGATCCCAATTACTAAAAAAACATAATTACCCGTTGTGCATTTTTTCTAGTAAAATTTTAAAATTTAATAAATTATAAAATTATAGATATTATAGTATGTTTGCATGAATAATTGTTTGTAGATAATGTGCATCTTTGCATGTTGAATTTTAGGTTTTAGAGGGTTGTATAACTTTATAGTAAGACTAGTTGATATCCCACGCTTTGCTACGGGATATGTAGATAAATGTATGTTATATATTATAGAAATGATAAATGTATATGTTTAAATAATATAAAAATGATATGGAGATAATGATTTGACATTACTTGCTTATTAAGTTGTAAAAATATATATATCATGTTTGCATGGTATTTAAAATACTCTAGATAATAATTGCTAGTAGGTAATGATGTGACATATTTATATGTAATTTAAAATACTCTAGATAATAATTGCTAGTTGATGATGATGTGGCGTACTTGCATGTTTAATTTTAGGACTTAGTCGGTATCAACTATATTGATACTGATAGTATAGATTGATCCGAGTATAAGAATAGGTGTGGGCGCATTCAACGTGAGGTATAGATTTTTTTTAATCCTATTATTAAGAATAAGTACAATGTGATGGGACACTGATATCCAATTGAAACATACTCTTGCGTGTAATTATAGACATCCGAACTTGAATCATGATAAGTTTGACATAAAATACTTCTAGATAAAAGCTAGGATCAAGATTCAGGAAAAGTAAATTTTGTCAAAAAAAAAACACATGGGTTAAGTCTGATTTACCCCTTTAACTATCACAAAGCACAAAAGGTATGATTTACATGCCTCTACTACAAACAAGACATTTAACATCTTTCAACCTTTTAAATCGAAGAGATTACCCCTTAACTAAAACGAGGTACCAGTCTTGCTTGCAATTTGCAATGGACAAAACAGTCGGCCAAAGATTAATAACATATACTTCCTTCGTTTCATTGTAAGTCGCTTTGACTGTTCTTCTTAGTCGTTTTTTGTTTTAAAATTTGACTATGTTTTTCGACATTTCTAACACAATAAATGTATTATCAAAATATATTTAGGTTATATTTAATGAAACTAATTTAGTATGATAGATATTTCTAATTTTTTTCTATAAACTTAGTCGAATCCTAAAGAAATTTGACTAGAAAAAAATTCAAAAATTATAAACGGAGGTAGTATATTTAAAAAGTCTTGTCTGGACCCACGCCATCATATTTATTTGTTCTTCCTTTCCTTTCTCTTGAAACAAAGTTAATGGATGAAAACGGCTAAAAATCACCTCCATCACTTTCATTTTCATATAAAATATCCTAGATACGAAAACGAAATCGAATACTATTAGATATAAAAACAGAATAAATACAGTAACAAATATTTATTGAAATATAAAAACCTCACACTGAGTTTCCAATTTTTTTTTCTAAAACTATAGATAAAATTTCTAAATTTTACCAACTGACAATACCACTTTTATATCATAATGATAACATCCACAATTCACATATCACAGATCACTTTCTCAAGTCCAATTTTTCATGTTTTGAGACAGTAATCATTCTCTTGAAAAAAAAATATTCCGAATTCATTTCCAAGAAATTATTTGGAAAGTTTCCAACATGTTCCACTTTCGACGGATAATGTGCTTACTGCATCTGTTTCCATTTCTGAGAAATAATTCTGAATTTGTTTCTGTTTTTGAAAATTTCCTAAAAAAATTTCCAACCGGCGCTTTCCGTTTCTGAAAGCATGTCCGGAATCTGAAACTTTCCAAACTGTTTCAACCCCCATCGCCACTCATGCGATGCAGACGGGGGAGAGGAACTGGTCATGACCTCTATAGGTCCAACCACTGACAAAATGTTGATGAGGGAAGTGAAAAGGGGCCATCCCTCAAGGTGGCGGCGGTGGCGACAACGACTTGTGGGAGGACGAAGCTGCAACAATAATGATTTGGGGACAACGAGGTGGTGGTGGACTGGATGACGATGAGCTAATTCTAGCAACTGGAGCCAAATCCATGCCGGTTACCACCTAGGCACAACTCAAACGCTGGTCTCCCTTCGTGGTGCCAAGCTCTAAGACCACTGTCGCTACTGGCACCACAAGCTCCTCCAAGCCATAAGGTCATCACTGTTGCCGTGATAAACTCCTACAAGCCACAAGGCCATTACTAGTAGGACTCCTTTGAGCTACCCCCAAGAGAGCCATCTAGATCTAGTCTCCCATGTCATCTTGATCCATGGTGACAACTAGATCTAGCGGATGGAGTTCACCAGAAACAGAGATTGGGGAAGTAAATACACCGTCACCTATTTTCTTTCCTCTCATTGACCCCTCTTCCCCATTTTAGCCCTTCGCGCTAGACAATATGGGAGTGGAGATCACCGATGCGGTGAAGGTTGTACAAGGAGAACGGAAAGAAACAAGAGGAGTGGAGAAAGAAGAAGGTGAGGAGAGGCCGACATGTGGCTTATTGCTGTATTAGATACCACATAAGTCGAAAATCACAATGTATTGAGCAAAGAGTTGTAGTTCATCCAGATGAAAAAATCCTGAAGTAGTCTAGTTTCACAGTTGTTGATAAATTTTAATTTTACGATAGTTCGGGGAGAGGGAATCGGACGTAATCCTATTAAAATACCCAAAAAAATGGTCTGTCTTTTAGGCCAGTTTTACAGCTAATATAGAATTGTCTCGGTTCCACTATTTTATTTCCGTAACAAAGATCAAAGATTTTAAGACTTTTGTATTGATTACCATTGACGTCTAATTTGTACTCTCCTAACTTTTCTAAAGGCCGTGCTTCTGATCTTAAAGACAATCTTCGTTAACCCAGGTAAGGTACATCGTACACAATGCTTTCCACTTTGTAAGTCCACTCTAATTGGTACTCCCTCCGTCTCAAAATAAATATAGTTTTAGACCGTTCGTCTTATTTAAAAAAATTTTATGATTAATATTTTTATTACTATTAGATGATAAAACATGAATAGTATTTTATGTGTGACTAAATATTTTTAAATTTTTAATAAATTTTTAAATAAGACGGACGGTCAAACGTTGAACACGAATATCCACGACTGCACTTATTTTGGGACGGAGGTAGTACTACTAGTATTGCACTGGTTAAGCGAATGGTTCCATGTACCGCACAACGGCTCAGGCAGAGTCCGGACTCCGGAACGAGAGGTCAGAACAAGCATATTCCATACTACAGTCACCGGGTCAAAAAAGCAGGAAACCCTCCCTGTTCACCATGATTGCCTGATTGCCTCTGCACCATGCACGCAACTACTGCAAGGCCCCCTCCAAACTCTGCTCGTCACTGTCGCC